ACATCTATACAAGGGTGGCATGGAGTGGTATGTTATAGTCCTGTATTTTTTTCCTCGAAAATTTGTGGATCCAATAGATCAAAAAGATTTTGTTCCATCTGTGCAAAATATTTCTGCATTCGAGTTAAAAACGAAGGTGGTATCGGGTGGTAACGAGTGGTATGAAATTTTTTTGTCGAAATATATTGAAAGTGGATCTCATTTTATAGATCACAACGAACTCGTTCCATTTGAGCAAAAAAAAAAACAAAAAAAAAATCCAAATTAGAAGGAAGAAGATAAGAGTTGATTAAGAAAACTAGAAAAAATAAAAAACCATTAGATCTAGGTTGGGAATCTAGACTAAACCTATGGAGAATTACGGTCTAGACTGTGTCGTATGGTTTGATTTGGACCGTAAGATCAGAACTATGGTCTGGTTTGGTTTTCGGTCACCTCCTTTAGTGTGTGGTCTGAAGTGGTCTGGACCGCAGTCTACCGCAGTAAACCATAACAGACCGTGACACACTACATACTAACTCAAACCAAAGTAACACTAAATTAAACCTCCATTTATGTACTTAAAGAACAAAGTTAGTTGATTATTCATCTAGTTGAGAGCCAACTGATTGCCAAATCATCGCTTGTCCATTATCTCATTATCAAAGAATCACACAAAACCTAGAAATATTCATAAATAATTTTGACAAAATACACTTGTATAGCCAAAACTTTCGCGTTTGTGACAATAATAGCCAAATTTTGAGAAATACCACTTATAGCCAGGTTTTGTAAAGAGTATTGGACAAATATAGCCATTTCCGTTAGATACTTTAACGGTGTTATTAACTCCGTTAACTTCTTTGACTATTTGCTAACTAGGCACCAACTCAGCGCACACGTTAGCGCGCCAAATAAACCGAAAGTGACACATCATAATTAAAATTTATTTAATAATTACATGTCATAAATTAACAAATTTATAAAAAACAAATTAATAAAAAATTTACTTTAATTTCCCCCAATTTCTTCATCGCCCTGACGCCCTCTCTTCTACAGTCCCAGATCTCTGATTATCCTAATTCTCACCGATTTTGAAGCTTCCTAGAACCAAAACAAAAAATCAAAATCGACCTTTCCTCTATCTCTCTTCACATCTGTGTTGTTTCCCAAAATCCCTATGAAACCCATAAATCCCAACGATGAGAGCAGGAAGAAGTGGAGAAAGCCCATGGAGACGACGGTTGAGAATCCATCTCCTCTTCATCGTTTGTGTGGAATCGACACTAGGTAGGTAGCGACTATAAGGGAATCGACATCTTCCGACGAACTGCCAAAGATCTGTCTCTGTTGAAGCTCTCCTCATCTTCCTGTCGTGGCATGGCCCGGATTCGATCGGGTATCATCATCGTCTTCCGTTGAAACTCGATTCAAATCCTCTAGCTTCATCTCCAAAACCCTTATCATTTGAATCAACCACCATCGTCGGAACTCGAATCGGGGGCAGCAAGTTTGCAATCGCAGAACTTCGACAGATTTAGAGATGGGAAAGTGATGACCCAGTTTTTAACCAATAAAATTTTATAAATATTAAACACCTCTCCTTTTGTTAGTACACTCGATAAATTTTTAATTATTACGGTGCTTAAAACACCCAAAAATTTATACTGTACCGTTCTATAAATCAGAATCTTTCCGAAACCATTAATTTCGTCTTCTTTCATTTTCTTACATTTCCTAAGCCTTTTGTCTCTTTCCCTACTTCCCTTTTCCCATGTGAGATGGCAGAAGCTTCTCTTCACTTCACTTTCTTTCCATTTCTTCCGTTCCTTTTACTCCCACATGCATGGACGACCCACCCTTCCCCATTCACTAACATTCATACACATTCTTACACTTTCATACACATTCCTACACTTTCCTACACTTTCATACACATTCCTACACTTTCATACACATTCTCCTCCATTCCTTCTCTTTCTTTCATTTTCTTACATATACATTTACTTACGTACATATTCATGCATATACGTAAATGTTTCTCGTTTACATTACTCATACTCCTTTATTTTCCCTTATATACTTACACTTTCTCATACTTTCGCATACACACTTGGATATTCTCATATACCATAATTATTGAGAAATGTTGGTGAATGTTAACGTAAGTAGAGGAATTCAACTACGCTTTTTCCCTATAAATAGGGAGCACCCCTCCCCCTTTCAGAAGACCATAAGTCCCTCCACACAACAAGTCACACAACACAACTCACACACAATACACTCTCTCTACTTTCTCTCTCTAAAAAAGTTTTCTATCTCCTCCGGATCTCCCAAAACGTGTTAAATCTCTAAACACTCAACACACCCTCAATTTGGCGGACTAAGCCATGGAATCGTGGATAGTCTCCACCGGGCGGCATTAAATAGCCGACGACACTTAATTACGACCGTGGGACCGAACCAGGTCTAACGTCATCGTATTTATTTTATTCCATTTAGGTTACTAATTTGAGCATCGGAGGAGGTTCCAACCAGGACCCCCCCCCCTCCCGTGGAACCTTTTTTCAGGTATTCGCACGGAGCTGGAGGTGGTTAAAGGCTTTGGGAAGTCAGCGCTCTCCGGACCTTAAACATATTGAAGCAGGTTGCTCTAAGTTTGGCATCAAAAATTGGCGCCCACCATGGGGCCCGGTGAGAAGAATATTACCAAAGTTTTCACAAACCACCACCAAGCCGTGATGAACACCCAAGGCTCTCCCAGTATTCCTACCATCGAAGCAGTGCGTCGCTCTTTAAGGGTAATCGAGACTGGGGGCAACCCAACCCCCCGTTCACCACTCAGTGATGCACCGAGTCAAAATATAGAGCCTCGAGTGGTGCCACTTGCACATAATACCTCCATTCCCGCACCAGAAGCAATTCCAACCCCTACTCCGGCACAAGTACGTGAAATGTAAGTTGAGATTGAGCGACTCAGAGCTCAACTCAGGGCCAGAGAAGCCTCCCAGATTAATGCTCCTAGATCTTCCAGAGGACCCGTAACAAATAATCAAGAGAGAGTTGCAGCCCATGGCTCGGTCAACGAACCACCCAATGGGACGTCATCACCCATTGGATTAATCGCTCTGAGTCTCTCAGCCAATCTGCTCGAACCTTCCCCAGGACACGGAGTTGTCACTTCAACCGGAGTAGGAGGACCTCTATCCAGAATCATGCAGGATGAGCATTACCCATCAAATCTCCATTTACCAAGCTTGCCAGAGTATTATGGCACCATAGATCCAGAAGACCACCTTTGCTCTTTTCAAATCCTAATGCCATTAATCGCAGCATCTGATGCAACAATGTGCAAAATCTTCCCAGCAACACTCCGAGGAGATGCCCGACGATGGTACTCAAAGTTACAAGATGGTATTATCTCCAGCTTCTTCAAATTTGCCACTCTCTTCAGATGCAAATTCTACGCACAGAAAAAACAACCTATCAACATCCATCAACTCCTCAGCATCAGGCAACGTTATGATGAGACACTCAAGGCTTACTATACTCGATATAGTAACATCGCCATCGGACTAACATCCATTTCCACTGAGATCGCCACCAATGCCCTGACGCGAGGGACTATCAATACTGATTTATATGCTTCTCTTGCAAAACGGGCTCCCCACATCACTATGGAACTTCAAGAGCGAGTTTCAAAATATATTGATCTAGAAGAGGCACTTCAGGAGGTTAGTCAGGCAGGATCCAAAAGAAAACAAGAGACTTCATCCCAAGATTCTCGCCGACAACGTCAAGCTCCTGTAGCCGAGGGCCGAAACTCTTCACAAAATTCTAGAAGGGAAGCTACCTAGTTACAACAAAGCTATACTCCTCTCAATCGCTCTAGACAAGCCATTCTTCAGGTCATTCTAGAGAAGAAAATTCCCATTACTCAACCTCCTCCAATTATGAGGGTTTCAGGAAAGGGCCAACAATTCTACTGCGAATTTCACCGATGTACGGGACATGATACAGAAAGTTGTTACACCCTTAAGCACTCTATTGAAGGACTTATCCAACGAGGCTATCTTCGAGACTTTGTAAAGAATGTCCGACCTCCTATTCTCCCTTCACCTCCAATAATAGACAAAGGAAAAGCACTACAGGAAAGTTGATCGGTGTTGGGAAATGTTCCTGTCATTCATGGCGGGGTCAAATTATCCGAAAAGTTTGTTCTCGCTCAACCGGTTCCCCAAGGTTGGTCGGTTCTGCTTCTACCACACAAATTCTCATACCCTTTAGTCATCTAATCTTAGCCCCTCTAAAGTCTCGTCCATCTCCTAATAAAGGCCCCACGCATTTTCTTCCCTACTTCCCCAAATTCATCTTCAATACCTTGGCTCTCAATTCTTATTATGATCCCAAAATTTATCTCTGAGTCTCAAAATTCCTATTATCCAATCCAATTCCCAATTTCACAACCGACCGAAAACGCCTTAGATCAGAATTTCCATCGGGTAACCAAATAATCAAATTATCAGTTATAACCGAACTAAATATCACCCCTAAACTACATGGGAGTAATGTAGTAAAAAACAAGTTTCTACGTAAAAACGCTTTGGTGATCTATAAGCATAAAATCGTAAGTTGTTAAGTTTTGAAGCGGAGTTTTTAATCACATAAGTTATAAAAACTGAGATTTGAAGTAGAAGCGTTTTAATGACCTTAAAACGTAAAATCGAAAGTTTTTAAGTTTTAAAACGTGATTTTGACGGCATTGCATGGGAGGACTGTAGGGAAAATGGACGCACTCAACCATAGTACACAAATAGAGGAGAGAAATAAAAAACGAATTCAACCAACTCCACAGCCACAAGGAGGGTGGCAAATGCATACACATCGGCCGAGACCATTAGGTTTCGAAGTTTTCTACCTACACTTCCAAATCTTCCCCTAACTAACCATCACTCTTTCTGTTCTCTTTTTCCAGCTAAAGTAGACCGACTGTGTCCTCTTGGCAATGGAGGAATGTTGCGATGAAGAGCAACAGTTCAGTCTCTCCATCTTCCTCACCACCAACACCTCCATCACCTCTTCCTATTAGCACTGGACCTGGCAATCAAAGGTACACCTTTACCCCATCTCCTTCCATATCCCCACCATTTTCAGTGTCCCCTTCCAGCCACACTTCCGCCGATGACCTTCCTTTCATGCCGTGGGGAAAGTCTGCACAACGAACTCCATCAGCATTCTCGTTGGATCGGCCGGAGAGAGACCATCTGGAGCCAGAATCCAGCAGTTCATGCCTCAAGGAATTGTGAGCCATTTTTCCAGTTGCTAATAATTGCTCTATTTCCTTATTCTCTCTCTCTCTCTCATCAAAGAAATATATGTATAACAAGTATATAAGAGGCAAAACTGATAATGAACTCTCTCACCAAGTCAGAAATTTCATTAAAACTTTCATTTCCCCTGTCAAGTTCTTTATGGCATATCAAATCAAACATTCAACGGCAATAGAATCTTACTGTCACTTTTCTTTTCTTCTTTTCCAAAAAGAGGAAGTCTGTCATTTAACTGGGGCTATTGATGTTTCTCTGCTTGTGCAATGCAGGCTTGAGTGGGTTATAGAGAGCTGTTGCAGGTGCTTTTCATGGTTCCTGAATCCGTCGTCAAGAGCCACAAGCAAGATATTCATATCTGACATGCCAGGCAATTCTTCACGCATCCCCACAATAAAATCTTGCTCAAGTTCTAACCAAGTCAGGACTCCAAAGACATACTGAACCTCAACTCTGTTCCAGGAAAGACCTCTTCTAAACTGCAACTCTTGCGTACCATAGCCACCACGAATCCTGGAATGAATCATATAGACTGAATTGTCAGTTCCACTGGTTAACCACTCTCACTAGTTAAGTCTTTTGCCGACAATGAACTCTGTACATTACTAACACTATTGAAGTTGCGAAACAGGTAGATTTGGCATTTCATACCTACTGCTGCTGATTTTGCTGTCGTTGGGTGAAATTGGAGTGATTCTGAGTGGCATTTTGAAGACCTACCATATTAGGCTGTAAATTCTGAGCAGTAGGTGCCATATTACCGAAAGCTCCTTGTGAACCAAGCTGTTGCTGTTGTTGTTGCTGCTGCTGCTGCTGCTGCTGCTGTTGCTGTTGCTGCTGCTGCTGTGGCTGTATGGGCATCATGCTACCGGGATTTGAAACACCCATATTGTACACTACAAGGAAATTCAAACATTTAAGAATCCTAGTTCAACAATCAAATGCAAGAGAATCAAATGTAACATTCCTCGTTGAGGGGCGAAGGTAGGAGTGCATTGATTAAGATATCCCACACATTGCAGAACTTACCATACCAGGTAGTACTAAGTTGGACCTAACAGTACCACGTCCAATAGTTATTTCAAACTAAAAACCACTGTACTTAATATTTCAGAGAAAATATGGATAAATATGAACAGCATAGGTATTTACTTTGATCATTCAGAATTTGAGATGCATGCCTCTGAGCATTAGTGCCAGCAAGTCCAAACTGCAAAGCAGGTGGATGAAAGGAATCACTGTATCAGAAGTAATTCTAGACGCATAATGGAACTGCATGCTACAACTTAACACTGTGAGTTGCAGTTGAGTTTCATCTGGCAGGGGAATCCAACCATGAGACAATCAATCCAAAACTAAAAAAATAAGATAATAAAATATATCAAACATATTATGGTGATGAAACCTTTTATTTGGACGGGTGGAATGGTGATTACATAATCTAAATAACAAGGTGTATATATCCTCTAGAATGTACTTGTATCCCATGGCTCCACCGAGATGAACTACTTATGATTTATAGACTTCGGCCAAATTTGATTATAGAGGAGCATTGAACTATCAATATAGTAGGAGTTTCAGGCAACAGATTTACAAACTCTACATGGACATTGCAGTTGCAATTTGCTGTTTGCAAACAAATTGGTTTGCATTTTTGAAACGTTTTATTTCTATCAATTGTTTTACATAATCAATTATTCAACATCTGATGTTTATACCAGACAGGCAGTCTAGCCAAATCCAGGTTGATGACATATGATCCTCATCATGTAGCCCTGTGCAACTAGTACATTCTCCTAACCACCTTGAAAATTAACTTAAATCTTCCAAAATATTCAGCTCTAGCTTGACAGTCTCTTTTCAGAGTCCAGACATCTAGCTCCCTGTAATGATGTTAGTTTATTGCCCCCTTCTGAATATATACTCTGGTTCTAATCCGGTGGGACATATCATATTTTTCAGCCAGTGGTCAGAACTAAAGCAACCTATTATAAGATCCACCATCAACCCCAGGAAACTAGCTACTCCAACTCAAAAAGGAAAAGGAAAGGAAGAAGTGGAAATTACCAATATTACATTGGTAGCTTACCTGCATACGTGGCATAAGCGGCTGCGATGACATTGTAGCTGATATATTTGGAATCTACAAACAATAAAAAAAAGGTAAGACAGGAGAAATTAATAATGAAAGAGAACTTCTAAAAAATAATTAGAAAGCTAGGGAAATGGAGGCTGCATATAAATATGCCATGCATGTACCTCCATAATAAGGTAATTATTATAAACACAAAGGTAGAGCATCTGAATCATATATGCACAAAATAGCTTATTTTGCATTCAAAATTGATCATCACCAAGTCCTCCCGTTGCATTAAAGTAAGCAACCTCAAGACCTGACTTATCAACCACGTCAAACACAAGACCTTGAAGGTTTGTAAATTTGAAAGTGTGGTCAGTGTTTCTGAAATTTATCCCAGGCTTTTGTTTTAGCTCACGTGAAAAAGGTGTTTCATACCTGACTGAGGATCTCACACAAGACAGAAATCTGTTAATATCCCTCTGATTTAAGAATTTCTTACTATTAGATAGTTTCTTAGTGGTAATCTTTTACTCTCCTGTTTTACCTCAGCACGAGGAACAGCACAGAACAGAGAGCTAACATCTCATTCCAACAGCCCACTCCACTAGCATATCATGTCTCATCAACCCAAATAAATGCACAGAGGATACAAACAAAGTCAGCTGGAGCCTCTTTTAGCTTCAGCATGCAAGAACAACATGCCCTAATCCCGAAATGCTAAAACAACATCTACACCTTTAGAACTCAATATATGGTGCTGTACATGCTCTCTCCATCATAGAATGTTCAAAGTGACCACTATAAATGTACAGATGTACTCTAGGACAGTTTAATATAGACCATTCAAGTAGCAACAAAAAGTAAAACAAATAAAGTGAACACAGTTCAAGCAAAACACAGTACCCATAACCATTAGGAAAGAACAAGTACACCAAAAAAAAAAGAGAACGAATGACAAAGCTCATCATACAATAGCATATCCTTACCATCTGGGTACTCGGTGCTCCTTGAGCAGCATTGAACAATGCAGTATTAGCAGTGCCAGCAAACTGAGTCATATGACGATTTAACTGATTCCCTTGACCAAGTTGGCTCTGACCCATTCCATGCTGAACATGACCAGCAGCCAGCTGCCTGCTCTGGAATTGCTGGTGCCCCATTGGCTGAGAAAATTGCATCTGATATGGCACATGAAATTGATAAATTAACCTCTATAGAAACACCTCATGAAAGTGTAAAGCACAGAGAAACAAAGAAATGAGCAATTAGTTTCATTGTTGTTACAAAAGGCTTTTTTGCCTTTTTGTGTTGGTTGAACACCTTATTGTAGTTGTCACACCTTCTACGTTCAAGCAAGTAAACAAATAATGTAGAAGTGTACAAAGTTGTACTACTTCAGAACGACAATAACAGAAGATGAAACGTATGTTAAAAAGACAACAATAAATGAAAAACAAACCTGCCCGAGGCCCTGCATAGAAGAATGCCTCAATTGCTGGGCAATGAGTTGCTGTTGATGCTGAGGTAACTGCATTATCTTTTGTCTTTGCTGCTGCAACTGTTGTTGCTGAAGCTGCTGTTGACTTTGTTGTTGAGGAGAAGGAGTATTCATCATGTTTGTACCAGACCTGGGGGAGTTAGAATATGGCAGAGGGGAAGTCGTTGTGTTATCAAAGGATGTAGCACTTGTAGCAGTGGAGGGAGATGCAGCTGATCTTGCCATAAGTGGGGTACCGGAAGCATGCTTCAGGAAGGTAATAAAACAACAAGAGTCAAGCAGTAATAAGTTCTATTGAAAAGTATACCATATTACATGTATACAAATTCTGCACAGGTTAATCAGATGATGTCCAAAAGACAGTTCATATTTAAACCTTAAACATATCCATAAACATATAAATCTAAGTATCATAAAAAAAGAAAAGACAAGCACTTTGCATGAAAGTTGACAGCAAACAACACTGAAAGGCCAATTTGGGGGATGACATCAGATGCTGTGTGCGGTCTAGCAGGATTAAGTAATACTAGTTACATAAACATATTGAACTCCTTATCATGGGATGAAAAAAGTAGTAATAATGTTATAACTGCTGGTATTCACCTTTAAATGCAAGAAGATGGAGACAACAAAACAAACTAAGCAACAAAACCATTATGAATGATTGCTACATGGAAGAGACCAATAATTTGAAATTATTTAGAAGAAGTGCACTATACGCAGCATACGTTCTAGAACTCTACATTTCTATGCCAAAGGAACCAAATATATCTCTAGAAACAGATTAACCGGTGCAGAAACTGCTGAAAAGGGAAAATGGAACCAATTATCCAACCTGTAGCAAAGGCCCCTGATTGCCGATGTTATTGGATGACATAGGAGGAGTACTTTTCATATACATTCCTGAAAAACAAAGTTAGTCAGCTAGCACGTACTACAGATAATGAGGGCCAAATCAATGTACGTGTATATGACATGTATAAATGCAATAATTTATTACCACCAGAATCAGGAAAACCATGTACGCCGACACTATCATTAACAGGAAGCATATCAGCCAGATGAACTGGAAGTGTTGATGTAATCTGCCTCTGGTCTACAGGTATTCTTAGGCCTGCATGAGTCAAACATATTGCAGTCAATCACTGACGCTGAGCATCTTCAAGAAAACTTGCATGATATTACCAAGAAACCACAGTTGATATATGAATTAGAACAGATTGATGATTGTACAACCCACGTTTGAGCAATGCCTAGAAGCGATAATGTGTTTCTCATGCTGGAGAGCGGAAAATTTCTAAAGTATCTATGAACACGATCATTGAACCACAAGAAGGTGATCCAACTAATCCATTTCTACCAGAGTTGCTTATCTAGTCTCTAGTCTTCGGAAATTTCAACTTGATGTACAATATACTATTCAAATATGGAGAAAAGACAACTGAATAAGATATAAGCAGATCAGTAAGGTGATTAGTCGGATTGCAGCTCAATGCGGTTTCTTTGGACCTTGTTCTACGTGAATAACTCGTGCGCATACTAAAGCCTGCTTTATGATACTTTGTCAATATTGTTAATAAGCTTGAGTCCCTGGTCAACAGATGTGGAGTAATTTGATCAATCATTGGACTTGCATGTATCCATCTTCAAATAGACAAAATATCCGAATAATGCTTATGGACGCCAAGGAATGTAAAACCCATGAAAAAACAGCTATGGAGAACACACCTTCACCAGAATTTACAGCAGCTCTAAGAAGGTTCTCCTGTTCATGAATTTTTGCAGCCTGCCCCTTGTCTAATGTCGGAATGATTGTTGGACCTTGACGTGTACCAAATTGATAGGCTTTGCGAGTATCAGCTAAGACTTTTTCAGCACTTTCGCAAGCTGCAGCAATCATATCTATTCTAGTCTGCATTATAAAAGGCTAAAGTCCTTCAAGGAAATGTGATTCATCTTTTGACTTATTCCAATTATAAATAAAATCCAATTCACCTTTAACTTCTCAATCTGTGCAGATACTTCCAGGTTCTGCATTCCCTGAAGCAACTGCTCTCTCTTTACATTATCCTCCATTTCCATCTCTGGTAGTAATTTTGAGGACAACATAACAGGTAGTACTGCAGCCACAATATGCAAGAATATCAAACTAAATTAACAAATTAACCAGAATAAAAGGTTACTGATTCAGATGGTACATTACTCTTGTTTTTAGGCAACAAACTTGATATACCTCAAATATCAAATTTCAGAAATGTCTAACTTTTCTAACATCAGTATCAAAAGGATCACCGTACTTGTAGCATTTTCTGCATTAACATTCTTCGGATGTACAACAAAAGCCTTGGAGACCTTCTTAATCTCGTCCACAATGTTGAAAAGTTCAAGGTTCACCATTGAATATTGGCCCAAAATATCTTGCCTGGTATATCCTCTAAGCAGATTAATAATCAGAGAAAAATAACAACTAGGAAAGAAGAATCCAGACAGAGCAAGTAGACGAATTTCCTCAATATCTATCATGCAACTGCATGTTCTACCAAATGTTAGAAAGAAGTTAAGCAATGCATGAAAAGATGCAATATGATGCTTTCCATAGACAAGGTATCATCTGGGTATGTTATTCTACATTGCAATACACACCAAAATAACTTTAAGCGTCTCTATGCTTAAAGTAACCCATCTGCCAAACTGAGGCTAGTCAAGACAAATAGTTAAGAACCACGATTATCCTAAACTGCAGTATTACCTACATTAGCTTAGGAATCTCTATGCTTTCACTAAGATGACAGCCAAACTCATGTTCATCAATACCCATTACAGAAGACTTAGAAAGAATTTGACCTGGGGAAAAGAAGACACATTTTTAAGCCGCTTACCTAGAGTACAATGTAGAAATCCAGTTCATATGACCTTTCTCTTAGAGCACCCTAATTGGGTATCTATTTTTGCGGAAGTAAAATTATTAATTACCACTAAGTTCGTCAAATTTGGTGGAGTACTGCTGTAATTTTTAAACTGATCTCGCTGAATTCAAAGGAAACCCTAATCCGGTCACAATTCTCCCAATCACGGTTCCCATTTCAGCCCTACTCTGAGCAAGCATTCGGAAAACTAACGTGACTAACTGCAAAAAGAACGAAAGTAAAACCATTTAGGAGTGGTGTTGGTGCGAGCGTAGGCGTCAAAGTCTTCGAGGATGCGAGAGATGGCTTTGTAGAGACTGATAGCTCGGATCTTGACCGACTCCAAATTCAGCTGCTGCTGCACCGCAGAATTCAGCCTCTCCGCCACCACTACTGGCGGTTGAGACTGCGCTCCGGATTGCTGCTGTTGATTTTGAAGCTGAGAAGGGTCCTGCTGCATCGCCAACTCCATCGCCGCCGGTCGTCCCTCGCCTTTCCGGGAACACTATTGGTGGCGGTTACTGAGATTAATAAAACATATATAAGTGGCAGAACATTTAAACTAGGTGTACATGGTGGAGCAGTGGCTATACGGTCCCGGTCCTTTTAAATTGGTCCGAATTGATTCGGTTTCGGTTTGGTCTTTTCGAGAATTTAAAGATTTAAAATTGGATTGAAAACGATCCGGTCTTGATCCAGTCTGATCTTGAACCGGTTCGGTGCCAATTCGATCAAGATTTTAGATTGAACTTGTGGGGATTTGAGTGGCTTGAAGGGGGATTTGAGTGGTCTGAAAGGCTGAGGAGGTTAAATTTTGGGTGTTGGGCTCTATTATCCTGTCTTTATCCGATTTTCGATCTGGTCTCAAATGATTTTTTACCTCAAATCTAGGCCCGAAGATTGGATTGGATTGTTTGCTATCCGGTCCCAGTCCGATCACGGTCCGGGTTATACGATCTAGGGGTGGGCATACGGTTCGGTAAAACCGAACCGAACCAAAACCGAATTAATGTTATTCGGTTCGGAATTCGGAAGAGAAAAGGGCATATTTCAGAAACTAGGGTCCTTTCGACCGAACCGAATTTCAGAATTCCGAACCGAAAAACCGAATTATTATAATTGCAAGTTCCAAATGATGGATTTTTATGTTTCTACTTATTATGAGACTTAAATATTTTAATCATGTTAGTGTTTTATGACTTATGTGTTGAAATGTTTGATTTTATCATTGATATGCATATTTATTGTTTACATTAAGAGTGAAAGATAATTTAAAAAAGAGAAGATACAAGCAAACCTCACAAGTTCGATTTTGTATAAAAAACCGAACCGAACCAAATTATAATTTGGTTTGAACCGACCCAACCGAATTATAATTCGGTTTGAATTCGCTTTGAAGTTTGATAGAATTCGGGGACCCGGTATGCATAATTTCGGTTCGGTTTGAACCGAACCGACCGAATGCCCACCCCTAATACGATCCGGTTTTGGGTTAAACCAAAAAGTACGAACCAAATAGCCAGCCCTACATGGGTGGGTTGTTCGAATTTACCCTTCTTATTCATTGAATATGAGTGCCTCGAGTCAAGTAATATCAATGTTGTCAAAGCCGAGCCGGAGTATGACCCGGTAACGTGAACGGCTTGGTCATTAGCGGTCCAGCCGACATTAGACCGTTTAAAAATCGTTTGAGAACCGGTACCTAATAAACAGTCATCTGTAATAGTAGACACTTCTTAATCATGGTAAACCACAAGTAAATTACTCTCTTAAACCATTCTAGAACATAAGTACTGAAAGATCTAAAATTCAATTCCAAACCACCACATTGTTCCAAAATAGAAGCAATACCACACGAGTCTGAACATTAAACAAGAGTCTTAAACATGAAAACCACTCAAAGTCTCAAACTCAAACAACTATCAAATACATCATACTGTCAGAATCTAATGCAGAGTTAAATGAGGAACTCGGGTTTTTGAGGGGTAGACTTGAACGTCTGGACTCTGGAAGCTTACTTCAATCGTTGTGAGGAGACAAAATTAGTTTTTAAGGGGTAGACTTGAACGTCTGGACTCAGGAGGTCGGCTGTTCTTTGCGGCGGTGAGCAGGGCAGTCTTCACGGCGACTGGCGACGATGGCGACGGGACTGGGTTTCTCTCGATGGCGACGATGGCGACGGCGACTGGGTTTCTCTCGATCGCTTGCGAGGGCGATTGGCGACGATGGCGACGGGACTGGGTTTCTCTCGATGGCGATGATGGCGACGGCGACTGGGTTTCTCTCGATCGCTTGCGAGGGCGACTGGCGACGATGGTGACGGGACGGCGAGCTGCTTGCGGCGGCGAGCTGCTGGCGATGGTGGACGGAAACGCTGGCGATGGTGGACGGCGCCGCTCTCCTTTCCTTTGTTCAGGTCGAAGAACTGGAGAAAGAAAAGGAAAGGTAGGGTTTTCAGTTTTGTTTGGCTGGCGGCTGCCCAATTCCAATTCCATTTTTTTTTTAGGTTAATTAAACGGCTGAACCGACCAACCGGCTCGAGCGGCTCGAGCGGCTCGACCGCTTTGGCCGCTTGCTGGCCGCCGTATTAAACCGTAGCGGCTAAATAGCTGATCCGAGCCGGTTTTGTGGCCGGGTGGCGGCTTTGGCGGTCCGGCCGGCCGGCTCGGCTCGGCTTTGACAGCACTGAGTAATATAAAACCTAACTCAATCATGAAAGAGTTAAACCCTATGGCTCGACTACAGGTTAGGTTGAATAGGTTCAACCTGTATGCTTCGATGAACTGGTAATAATTGGTACGTAAATGATACTTTTAGTTTGGAATTTCAGATAATACAAGTATTGCGAACTTTTGAAAGAAAAAATTGATTTGGCCCGTATTTGAAATGACCGTCAGAACTAATGGTCAAAAATTCTGTCTGTGACACAGCATCCAGCGTTGAGGTAGTGTCCACGTCACTTATTCGTAAAAAAAAAAGCCAATGTCAAAATAAAAAATATTTAAAAAGGAAAAGAGGAAAGTACCACAAACTTTTCAACCTTCTTTTTCTTCTTCTCGCTTCCTCATTTAATCCCCCTTGTCCCCGACCGTTGGTCTTCCTTTCACTCACCAATATTTGCTCCGACCAAACTACGGCCATATCCTCCGGAACTCCAACTCTAAGCGGAAGGCAAAGTCTTGTTTCATTCCAACTCGGTCACTGCAGTATGACTGGCCTCGGAGCTTGAAATCGAGCTTTGTCAGCAAGATTCCCTGACCGCATCTCCTCAATTGATTAGATTCAACAGCCGAAGAGGTTTGCTTCCTTCAGATGATGGAACAATGGTGGAAGAGCGTTAGTTTGTGTTTCCAAATGCGGCGACGGGTCAGGTTTGGGTCATTTTGGGCTAGATCCGGGAGACTGCAGTGAGTGAGAGGGTGGGATGCCAACAATGGCGACTCCTAAATGTTGGCATCAAACTCAATTGATGCCCTTCCTCCTCTGGAGATATGTTCATGAAAGCATTTGTGTTGCTTGGATAGATATAGAACTCATGTGGAACTCTAGATGCTTTCAACTTTTCTTCCAATGCTTCTGCTGCCTAAGGCAAAAAGTTCACTGAAAAATAGAGTTGAACAATATTATTGTCTTGTTCTATCCTTGATGAGGGGAGTGTACTACTCAATTTATGTGTATCTGTCAATTGAAATGTTAGATACATGATTAAGTTGCATATGAAGTTGAGACAGACACTCCGGAAATAAGGAAAAAGTTGAGACAAACAACAATGATTGTCATATAGGTATCATTGACCAAGCATCCATGCATACATAATAAGCATCAAAATCCATAAGCATCAACACATGCACGACATAAAATCATAGCATCAATACATATAATGATAAACGAGTTCGCATCTTCATAAAATCAATTTCGAACTAGCTACACAGAGGAGAAGGAGGGTTCCACCATCGACGATGAAAGAATCTCCCTAGCCGAACCCTCTCCTACGAAAGTTAAGCTCTTACTCGAGCAACATATATAGAAGTTTGAGTGTAGTTGTACAGCCTCCTGAAATAATGAACATAGCCTCTTATTTAAAGGGGTAGAATTCGGCCAAAACCCTCATAAACTGACTAGGACAGGGTTTGTTAGATTTAGGGCCGAAGTTATAGCCTATAGATCTTGTTTTGGACTTGGGCCTCTTAGCGACGGTAGTGCAGCGGTTGGGGCCGCCACCCTTCTTCTTTTTCTTCGTGGGCTGGCCTTCCTGGCCCATGAACAACCTCTTATGAAGATTTTGCTGTGTTTTAATCAGGTATCTATGAGCGATGGTTCAGACCAGTTGATGGGTCGCTATTGGTTTCTGCTTCTGCTTGGGCCGAGTCTTCTCCATATGAGCCCAAGAGGAGCCCATTAGAGAACTTTTAGCCTAAGCATAGGAAAGAATTCACGACGGAACCATCCGTCATTGGGCTGCCGCCAACCCTAACCCATCAAGTTGCCCTAAAAATCTACGAGGAGGTTACTTTTGGGTCAATAAACCCATTAGAGGAGGGAAAACAATGGCGGTAATGACCGCCACAAGGCTGTCATGGAACCAAGGCTAAATGAATCTTCTAAAATGTTTTTTCTTCATCCCCAAGTCAGAGAATCCCAGTTTCAGACATACAAGGAAGATTTTGGCAAAGTTTTAGGAGGAAAAAGTCTAAATTCCCCTTCTCGTATGTACTATTAACAGAAGGTCAGGCCATAGGATTCAATACACTCCAGATACTACAAAATTTACTCTTCAATACTCGAGCATGGAGCCACTCGGCTCAAGTGGAGATTGAGCTTAGCATCCATTGGATGGGCGTAGTTAAGGAGATGCCTTCATCATAAATGATGGTACCATCCTTCTCTCTTGTAGTTCAATTCATTGTTTAAGGATGTGAATTCTATGATGCCTTATGCATCTCTTTCTATGATTCAATAAAATGATTTAGCCATTCAATGCTTTATATCATTCCATGCTTGAGTCATTTAATACATTAATCATTCGATGCTTTATATAATCTATTATGTGGTACTATGGTATTGTTTATAATATCATTATATGTAGTTAGGAAACTATAGTACTCTTACGTGATATGTTGTTGTCTTATGCATGTATAAATGGAATGATAAACCATCCATGCTTGTATGATTTCAATGCTTGATACCCTAGATCATCGATGTCATAGACCGTTGCTATTGTCCATATAGGCCCTAGCAATGTGCTATCCTTACTTGTGTAATTGATTTGTTAATGGCATGAGGCAAAATCATACATTAGTTAGTTGTAACGTCTTTTACACGAAGCGAAAGCATGATTAGGAATGCTTTAGTGGAATGGATAGAGTATATAATATGCATCTATGCATGTTATTATCGAGATTGACATGTATGATCATCTAGATGAAAATTCTTAACAATTGCGTATCATTTACTTATCTTGTCTATCTGTTACTTTATTTCTTTATTTATCAATGCTTATCTCGAAAACCAACTAAA